AAATTTATTCGAACCCTTATCTATGTTGGGAATGTTGTTGTAAGAGTGGAATCCAATCAGCGCTAAACCGTACTCTACATCTTCATCCAACTGCAGCGGATTGACAAAGTCGATGGATAATGTCGACGTGTTCCCTTTTAACGTAAATATGATCGACATGTTGACTGCTTATAGGTCCGCGATTTCAGTCCTTTTTATAGAGAAATTGCAAACACAAATGACCGCAATTGTATTGCGTAAACTTTTGATATCTATCGTGATTATAGTAGATATTGGCGCTGTTGCCGAAATATTTAACAAGTTCTGCGGGTGGTTTAAGGTTACCGAAACTGTCAAAATACTCAACATCGTTTCCCTTCCTCTTTTTGTATGCTACCCAGTGGGTTCCTCTATTTCGACGAACATCCAAATTTACGATTCCGCATTCTTGCGATCTGATTCGACGGGGTAAACTATCTCGCATAAAAACACCCCTGAAGTGAGGAATTTTTAATTTGCGCGCCAGAGATATTAAATCGACGTCGTATAGAGCCCTTCTGGGTAGCTTTATTGGGAGTTTTTTTGTTTCTTCAGATAAAGACCGAATCCGCCGCGCGGACTCTTTTTCAAGAATAGACCCGATCCCTTTTTTCCAATCTCTTCCATAGCTCGGTTATGGCGGTTGGCCTCTTCGAGTTTCTTTCGTGCGTTTTTCGCATCGATGACAGTTTTAGCGATAGCAGCGGCTCCGCCCGAGAGCGAACCTAAAGCCCCTAGCGCTCCTAATAACGGTAAAAGTGGTAAAATACCGCCCGATTTTGATTCGAACGGTATAATTCTAGGTACCCTAATTTTTTTACGTCCTCCCGCTTTTCTTACAGCGGCTCTGCCAGCTCGAAGCGCTTCCAGTGCCGATCTTCTAAGCATTTTAGGGTTATCGATATGAAACAATTGTTTCTTCTTTAATGCATTGCGAACCTTTTTCACGACACCCTGTCGAAACGAAACAGAGGGACGCCGTTGTTGACCCATACCGAGCTTACGTTTAGTTTTCATAGTCGCGGTGACAAAGAATGCGGCAGCTTTTTCACCAAACTTTGCGTCTTTAGATTTTACTCGCTGCCACGCACGCGTTTCCAATTCTTTATCCGCTTTATGACGTTCGTCTAACGATTTGTTTTGCGAATAGGCAATGTCGTGTACCTTACACGCAGCGTCCAAAGGATTCACCGCGCTATCGCCTCGGTTCAAGCGTTTTTCCAATTTTGTACCGGGACCGCAAAACTGGTAACCCGGAATGTGTACTTCAAAAGGTAACTTGTTAATAAGCGTGTTAACGAGACCACTTCCGGACGCGAAGCATAACATACTAATTAAAGGAAATTGCTTGTGTCGTATATATATACGAGGTGTCTCGAATAAACATTGTAGTCATGCGGGTGGTGCAGCAGAAACTCAAGCTCCCCATCGATAATTTAGATTTGGTTTGCGGAGATGGTTTCTTTAACAAAAGCAAACACGGTCAACTGCTACCCAATTCATTTAGGGCGGTGTTTTGCGGACCTAGCGGTTGCGGCAAAACCAACACCATGTTAGCGCTACTCTTTAACCCCAACGGGGCAAGTTTCGAAAATGTTTACGTCTACTCAAAGTCGTTGTATCAACCAAAATATCAACTGTTATCTCGCGTATTGAGCAATGTCAAAGGAGTTGGATATTATCCCTACAGTGAAAGAGACTCGATAATCGACCCCAGCGACGCGAAAGAGAATTCTCTGTTTATTTTCGACGACGTGGCGTGCGACAAGCAAGATAAAATTCGCGAGTATTTTTCGATGTGCCGACACAAGGCCATCGACGCTATTTATCTCTGTCAGACATACTCCAAGGTACCCAAGCAATTGATACGTGACAATTGCAATATTGTCGCGTTGTTTAAACAGGATGACATGAATTTACGTCACGTTTATGATGAACATGTCTCACCCGACGTTTCATACGACACGTTTAAACAAATTTGTTCCGAGTGCTGGAAAGAAAAGTACGGCTGTTTGATAATTGTCAAAGATTTCGACGTAAAAAACGGACGCTACCGCAAGGGTTTCGACAAATATATAAAAGTCGATATTTAATTGTCGATAGAAACAGTCATGAAGGCGACGTCCGCCGACATCGCCGACGCGGCGCTAAAAAAAAAAGTAAACGAGTTGTCTAGATCTATTCGAAAGAAGTATTTAACATTAAAATTGGGTAAGAGCGAAGAGGATGCGTCAATTCGGAAGCTTTTCAAACCCGTCAGCGAGCCGCTAGAACGTATAGCAAAAATAAAGCTATCACCGTCACCGGCAGAAATAAAAACTGAACGTCGAGGTGTCAAGCGGGAACACAAAAAGGAACCGAACGAAGAAACAAAAAATAAGGTTAACGTATCATTTTTGCCTATGGAAGAAATTCAGGAAACGCCGGATCCCAATAAGAGCGTTGAGATGCAAAATATCGATGAGGAGGAAGATGATGTGTTTGACACATCGAGCGTGGCCAACGCATCCCTTCAATCATACCTGGAACAATATCCAGAAATTTCCCATTCATATATTCAAAATTTATGGGTAAAATCGCCCGACACCGATATTGTTTACGGACCCGTTTACGACAAAATATCATCCAAATGGTTTCTCGGCAATAAATCGCTGGATTTTCATCAAGGATCTGGCGATATTATTGTAGACGGCGAGAGATATTCCGGTACCCGCGGCTTGTATAATTTGGTGTTTTTAAAAGATCCCATAGCATACACAAAAGACGATTTGGCACAATATAAAAAAATAATGGAGGCTACCCAGGTGCACAGGGACGCGATCGGACGTCTGAAAGGCGCATCGACTGTACCAAAATATACCAAGGTCATCCGACCCTTAATAAAATCTCAGTCGCGTTCGTACTCGTACAGCGGTCAAGGTTATAATATGCGTTATAATGACGCTCCTACTGAATATGTATACTGGGACGACGTCAATGAACTCGTAGAGCGTCTGAAATTACTAATCGCGTCGAAACACGCAGGCAACACGTCTCATGATAACGAAATAGTTTCAATCGTTGAAGAGCTAAAAGAATCAGGTTTTATACGTTAGTTTAACGATGAGTCTGGACAAGTTTGGACGTTCTAGCGCGCTGCGCTCTAAACGACCCTTCACTAATACTGTGATTAGAAGCGCCCTCGACTATATGCCAGACGGAAACGTCAATATGAACAATTTAAAAATTTGCAATGTCCAAACGCCTAGCGATGACGGTGACGTGGCTAACAAAAAATATGTGGATGAGACAAGTAATTTATTAAAAATTGCATTGAGAAAGATTATTGGACAGAAACTCGAAGCGTACACGAAAAGATTACAAATTGAAGACAAAACTAAATTCTCGCGTCTTGAAGAACAACTGAAAATGAGTAGCACTACACTCGAAAATGAAATTATGCAGTTTCGCGAAGTTTTCCACCAAAAGCTAAGCGAAATGAGCGCAAAGAAAGATTTGGAAAAGCACATGACAAAAGTCGCCGTTTTGTCACAGCAATTTCATGATATTGTAACCAAAATGGAGCGACTTACGAACGAAAATGAGAATATAATGAAGGTATTGAAACAAAGGGTTTTAAATCCTCCATCGCAACCGAACACACATTATGAATAAAGAGAAGGTACAACTGGTTCGAGAACTGCACAAGCCGGCACGCAGAAATTATGCTCGCCGCCGGACTATAATACGAGGGATGGATGACCTGTGGCAAGCGGATCTGGCCCAATTAGATCGCTACAGCAAACAAAACAGAAATTTTAAATTCGTGCTGGTTGTGATAGACTGTTTCTCAAAATATGTATGGTGTCGCCCGTTGAAAACCAAAACCGGGGTCGAAGTCGCCAAGGCGTTTTCCAAAATTCTCAAGGACGGACGGCACCCTCAAAACTTGCAAACGGATCTCGGTAAAGAATTTTACAACGACACGTTTCTGAAACTTGTGGATAAGCATAAAATTAACCACTATAGTACGTATAGCATAAAAAAGGCCTCAATTGTCGAACGGGTGATACGTACCCTCAAAGAGAAATTGTTTCGACATTTTTCTTTACGCGGGACGTACAAATGGATCGATGTGCTCGCCTCTATCGTTGATGAATACAATAACACAAAACATAGAACGACGGGTACGAAACCCATCGATGTGAGTAAGAGCAACGAAAAGAGAATTTTGAAAACCGCGTATAGTAGCATAAAAATATTCGGTCCTCGTAAACTTAAAGTCGGCGACATCGTTAGAATCAGCAAAGTCAAGCACGTTTTCAACAAAGGTTATACACCGAATTGGACCACGGAATTGTTTAAAATTGTTAAAGTACGGGTTACTAACCCCGTAACGTATTTGCTTCAAGATATGCAGGGTAAACCCATAATGGGCGGATTTTATGAAGAAGAATTGCAGAAGACAGTTAACCCGGACTTATATCTCGTCGAAAAGGTGTTGCGCAGACGAGGCAATATGGTTCTCGTGCGCTGGTTGGGATTGGATAAGTCGCACGATTCGTGGGTAGACAACGTAGACGTTTTGAAATAAATTTAGTCTCGATTTAGAAGTTCTGACATAAATACGTGTATATGATGGCTCAAGAGAAAATTGTGACATCCAACGAATTGTATAATTTATTGGAAAATTTCGAGTTGCAATTTCCTTCATCAGAAGTGCTCCCGTCCAGCTTCGTTCCTGTAGAGCAACAAACCAAAAAATCTGCGACCAAACGAAAACAAAGTGCGTCGGTCGTATCCCGCAAGAAGAAGAAGAAAACTACCACAAGTGAAGCGTTTGCAGCTCCAACGTCATCCGCTGATTGGCTCGAAGTGTTCACGGACGGTAGAGAAAAAAGTGTCATTTGTGAGGCATTCAATTTAAAAAGAAACTTGGCGTCTCAGTTGTCGGGATTAGAGTGCAATATCAACGAAATTGAAACACAAATTGCGCTTTTTAATACAGACTTGCAAGTGGCGCGGATGCAAGCTCAAGAGTGCAAAAGAAAACTAGAACAATTTAATAATTTAGCATTTAACGAAATTGTAAAATAGTAATAATGTATATAATAAATAAATTATACAATTACAAACTTCTGTGTAATTATTATGCGGTGTTGTGGTGGTGGTAAAAAAGAAAATAGCGTCTAAATATATACATGTTTATTCTTGTTGCAATACAATGGCATACAATCAATACATAAAAGCCTTATCTACAGTTACATATGTTATAATAAAACCACAGTATTAATAGTTCAATGTGCTATCAGAAAAGCGTAACTTTTTTCCATATTTTCTCTCATCGTGAAGCATTAAATTACATTCATCTTCAGTTTCTACAGTGAACAAAACTTCTTCAAAGCAGCTTTGACACCAAAATTGTTTATCGTGATATACATCATTCAAATTATTTATATCCAGCTGTAAATGATAGTGATCCAATAAAAGTCTAAAATTTTTCTTTTTAAATTTTTTAACTACTTGAAATATAAAGTGACAAGATTTACAAACTAAAATTTCCGAATATTTTATCCTGTAATAACTGACCCATAAACAGTAAGCGGATTCTCCGTCAAAATCAATGGTTGGAGTTGCCAAAATGCTATTTCTGTAAGACGATCCAAATCTCTTATTCAACAGAATGAATTCTAAATTTAATAAAGAATTGCCATCAGACTGGAGCGCTAGTTGTTTAAGGTACCTCCATCTATATTTCGAATAATATTTAAATATTAGTATCGTTAGTTTCCAAGGCAAAGGTGACTCAAGCAAAAAATCAGCACTACACCTAATATTTTCGCAAATTGTTATAATACAAAGGCTTTCTAATGTAAGTTGCTTGACCATAATCTGTAACAAAAATATATTAAAAAATAATTACGGCACTTTATAATGTCCCCACGGAAGCGTTTCATATGAATTCGGCAAAAGATAACGTTTATCGTCTAAAGGACTCAAGGCAACTTTTGTTTGTTCGATGCTAAATACATTGTGAGTGTATGAACGAATGGTTCGTTGAGTGGCGTACTTTTCCCTAAAATTTGTTAAGCATTCTACGTAGTCATCAAATGAAATTTTATTTTTTACAATATTGTACTGAATACCCTTTGACTTTTTAACTACCGAACCCGTTAAAATTTTGAAAGTATACATTTTCGACCTTAACCCAGCATAATGACTAATGATGGTGCCATTAGTCTCATCCTTCATCAACCCCAAAACCTTTTTGTTGATTTGCGGTATATTATAGGGATTGTCATTAGGATAATCAGACGTGTCAAATTTTGTTAAATCGGCCTTAATAACGCTTTCATATGCGTCATAACATTTGATATTATAAATGAAACTGTCCGTATCCATGTATTGAATTTTACATTTTTCGGGACCCAAATTTGGAAGCATGTAATTATAATGAAACTCGTACATGGTCGTTTTCGACAAATCCAATATGGACATTCCAATATAAAGTGGCTTATTAAAGCAAAGTTCCGATTTTTTTAATTCTATAAGCAACAAATTGTTATCAAGTATGGTTCTACTGTGAAATCTAGGACTAGAAATTAAATTTTTCGCACCGTAGCGACCATCCCACGCTTTAACAAATTTAACAATACGATGCTTGCGAATGTTTTCCATTGTTTTACCGTAAGCGGCATTATTAAACAATTTGTATAAATTTATACCAAATTTTGTCTTTGCTTGGGTTCTTAATTTATTATTATGATCGATATAACATTTCAACCAACGAGATTGGTTAAATTTTAATATTTTGTGAATTTTCTTTAGTACGAGACCGTTTTTGAGAGCCTGTTTTAAATTGCGATAGTGTATGACGTATTTTTCTTTATTATACAAAGTAGTCATTAGTTTTGGTAACTTTGAATTGGGGGGCACTCGATGTTCGGCACAAAATGGAAAATCTCTATGTGTGTCATGTAATTTCTGCGGGTATTCCAGGTCTACCTCTAGGATATATCCTTGGGAAGATTCATCTGGAATGTTCATGACATTAAATGAATCAATCTCTTGATGAGACATCCAGTCGAATCCTCCGTAAGGAAGAGGCTCGCACATGGCCTTGCCATAGAGGTTATTGACGTCAAAGTACATGATATAGGAATCATCCCTGGATGAATCGTAGTTGGGCATATATTTATTGTTGGCCTCCGCATATCTACCAACACACACCGAAATTCCACCTCGTATAGCCCGCTCGATAAACATAATTTGGTCAATGTCGCGCAAAAGTTCTAAACGACATTTTGTGAATCTAAGCATGCAATCCCATGTATACCCGGGCATACTGAAATACCACGCCGGATCCAAAACGTGTGTTGCCATACAAGTTTTTCGAAAATTTTCGAATATATCTGCCAGAAGAATAACGTCGGTTTTTAAATACAAATCTGAATACTCGCCTAAATTTTTTATTTCAAACGACTGCCAAACACTTTGTGCGTGGGAATATTTTTCTTCACTAATATTGCTTTCACTTAATTTATTATAGAATTCTTCAATCGGGGGTAAAGTTGTTTCATTTAATTTGTCTATATGGTCGATGTAATCGTAACAAAAAATACCTTTTTGCGACAGTAAATTTAATTTTGATTCGTCGAGATCGGAAAATTCTTTTCTTAAAATATATAGTTCATTTTTATCCATACTGGAAACTAAATTATCCAGAGATGCTCCCAAAAATCTAAACGAATCTATAAATCTAAATTTTATGTTATAATCAGGTTCGAAATATGTAAAAGAGATGTATTTTTCCTTATTAACCGGAACTATGGATACATAGCTTTTTTTTGCTAAAACCGGAAGCAGGAAGTGGCTATCGTATCCAGAAAGGTTCTGGAATACTACGGGCACTACAAATATTTTTTTAAAATTTAAATTACAAGCCTGATGGGCAAAACCTCTAAATTTACCAGTAAAATGATCATGGTCACGAACAATAACATCTTCTTTTAAAAAAGGTTTTTCACAAATATGACAATGACTCGACCTTTGATCTAGACTAATTTCACTATCCATTGGTATAATATCCTTAAATTTTGAACGAACAAATTTTGATAAATTAGATATTTCCTCCACGAACCAATCAATACAATCTAGACCACGATAACTTTTGAAAAATGATATTGAATCATCATAAGAACATTTAAAGTAATATGCAGCACTGTAAGCTTCGTGCTTTTGGTATTTCGAGGTTTTATCTGAAATTTTCAAATTTACTTTTCTCAATTGACTCTCAAAATCGGCGTAAATTACAAACGGAGTCCTTTGTTTATATATATGGTTTCGAAATTCAACGTAATCATATTTGGGAAAAGACACTTTATACTCATTGAAACTGGAACATATTGTTTCGTGGTCATGTAGACGAGTTTCGTTATTGAAATAATTCAAACACCTATCGCAAATGTATTTCTTGTGATTATATTTACTGAGCTGTGAGGAAACTAATCGAGACAAATTTTTAATGTAACAATAGTGATATTTTATTTCTTCATAATCATTATCTTGCGGATCAGGATCAAAATCATTAACTTTTGGATAATATTTATTTTGTATTAACAACAAATTTGAATGTTTTTCGCGTTTTTCTTTTGTTAATCGTGCAGGTAACACGGAATAAAAACTAGTTTTTTCATTTTTATTAAGCTCTAAGATATAAACATTGATGGAAATATCATTGTCTTTTTCAAATTTGCTTATTTTATTCATTTCCATAGGTGTTTGTAAATTTTCAGTTTTCAAAACACTTTTGTAGTATGGATATGAAGAGGGTAAATACTGACGAAAACGTGCTGGAAAGAGTCCGCATACAACTGACCAATAAAAACACGCTTGATCGTCATTTCTAATGTTAATACAAGCCCTTTTATTCGCAATTTCTTTAGGCAACTCAACGAAGGATGACCCGTTACCCATTTCAAATTTATTAATGTTAATCTCTAAATAAATAATATTATTTAAAGCCCACCCGGAATCACGTTCCTGAAACTCTGACATTTGATTTAAAATTTTATCTTGCACATTTTCAACAAACCAATCATTCAATTCTGTTCCTAAATCAACTACAGCATTTCCGGTACTCAGATATTTAACATCAACTTCGCCTTGGACATCATTTTTTGCCTTAATAAATTCACCGCAAAATGTGGTATTTACTTTCAGCAATAAAAATTTCTTTAAAATTTGACTAATTTTTTGTTGAAATATTGGACGAGAATCGTTTAAAAATTGAATTAAATCTTTATGAAGTAAATTAATTATGACACCGGTCTGAACTCTTCCCTGGAAACACGACGCTACCGATTCCCATACAACCATTTCATTTGTGTTTGTCTCGCGGCTACTACTTTGTAATCCCAATCCAAAATGCTTATGTTGATAATTAAGAATAATTTTTCTAATAGCTTTCAGATGTTGAATTGTAGTTTGTAATTTTCTTTTTAACCCAATAGAGAAATCCTTTTCGTTAGAAACGATTTGGTTGCAAGATTCAATATTTTTATTTAGTCTCCTAAGCCACACATCACTATCTCTAAGAGTGAACTTGTCGGAAATATGCTTTTTTAATTTTTGTAAGGTTAAAATTAAGATTTGCGCTCTATGAATGATCTGCTTTACGCGCATCGTGGTTTATTAAATATATAACAGTAAATAAGACTTACCCTGTATAATATGTTGATTAATTTTGAATTATTTTGAATTTCTTTAAAGAGTTGGGCTTTCCAATATCTTTGGATCCCTCGTAGACCAGTTTGTACTGCCCCGACGCAAAGTGTTCTAGTCTCGGACGGAAAGCTTCTGTCACGCGAGTAGGAAGAAATACTACGGAATTTTCTAATTGCAGCAACACGGAATTGCCAAATTTTGTATTAACAATTTTGGCTCTAGTAATTTTAAACGGAACGCCTATCGGCAATTCATGCAGTTTGACAATCGGCTGCTCAAAATCACCTTCTGCAAGACAGGTTTGATTCAGTTGACTTAAGTCCATCTATAAATTATTATTAATTATTTTATCTCAAAATTAAAAAAATAAAAAAAACTTACGCTTAAGATTGCTGCTATTCTATTTGCGGTTACGGGTTGAGAGTACTAAGATGATCTTTAGGAACTTTATAAAATAATAACAAATGTTAAAGAATTAAAATAAGACAATAAAAAAGGTACTTACTGCTTTTTTGTACGAACACCAAACCACTAAGTTAGCTTCCACGTTGCACGAATAATACCAAAAACAACTACTGACAAAACAGAGAAAAATGAGATGTATTTATACGGTGCGAGAATACTTTCTAAAAGTTAACAAACGAAGACACCTCCACATGCGTTGCAACAAATTTTTCCCATTACGTTAATCCCACGGAGCAAATATAAAGGGGGCAATTAATTATTATTCTCAACAAGCAAAACAACTTGACATTTAGACTCGGCGCGTTTTGAAATTCCACATCCCATACGGAGATTGTAAAAAATGAAAGCAAGTTGGCCTTGATCTTTTGCGGCAACATACGTTCGTCCAACGTCCGAAACGGTTGCGTTCCCGTGTGAAAGCGTGTTGACCTTGAGACTTCTACCTGCACGGTTGTCTGGCGACAACATCGCGTCTATTCAAATCGGCGTTGGTGCTTGTGGGTAGAAGACCTTTCGACTTTTAATTCAACCATGGAAGGGAGTGCATGTGTATAAATACGTTGCATGTGTATTATAGACTATATTCAGTGCAATGAATAGAGAAGTGCGATGTCCATTTCCCTACGACCCTACAACTGGTAAGTTTTATATTTTAATTACCTTTATACAGTGCGCGTCTTTTCTTGTGGGTTTCAGTTTGGGTTATCACTTTTTTGGTTAGTTTCTACCTGTTTTAAAATATGATACTCATCTTTTTTACGTTGCATAATAACCGATTTAAATTGAGTGTTTTTAATAGCTTTTAAATGACAGTGAATGGAAAAGGGAATTTTGGCTTTTAAAAAATAAACAATTTTTAAATTTGTTTCAAAAATGTTTTATTTTTTGTACTAAAAAATTGCAGTTTGCCTTTTTGACAATAATAATCGAATTAAATTGAGCGTTTTTAATATCTTTTAAATGACAGTGAATAGGGAATTTTGGCTTTTAAAAAATAAACAATTTTTAAAATTACTGAAAGTTTTGTTTCAAAAATGTGCGTTTTATGGGGAAAACGCGAAATATATACATATTTTTGTTTATTTTTTGTACTAAAAAATTGCAGTTTGCCCTTTTGACAATAATACACTTACATTTAAATGACAGTGAATTGAAACGTGAATTTTGGTATGCGCGTATAACTTAAAAAACAATTTTTAAAATTATTTGATAACCCCCCTTTTTGGAAGTTTTGTTTAAAAAAAAAATGTGTGTTTTATAGGAAACGCTACATATCATACTTTGTTTTGTTCTAGAAAAAATCGCGGTTTGTCCGTATGACAAGTCGCATATTATGTTGGCGCATCGCTTAGGGCGTCACATATTCAAATCACACAAAGAGTACCGGGGGTTAGAATTCCCGGTACGACATGAAACGACAAGGGAACATCACCAGCAGCAGGAGCAACCCGGTGGATCAAAAGAAACAAAGGAGCAGCAGGAGTACCCGGGTGGGTGGTCGACGGAGTGGGACGGCGAGGAGTGCACTTCGTATTTAGATTTCCTCCGGGAACGGGAAGAAGAACAACGCAAGGAACAGGAACAATGGGATGGTCGACTGAATCGACATAAAAAGAAGAAGAAACTCCTCGCCAGACCAATTTTATAAATAAAATAAAATAAAATGTATTAAAATTCAAGTTTATTTAATTATCCTCCCGATCCACCGCGTCACCGCGCCGCACCGTCACCGCCCTCTACCGGGGGGGCCTACGACGGTCGGAGCGCGCGACATCTAGCAGCGACGGGCG